CAGATTCCGAGAGTTGCGGAAACGCTACGAGGACCTGCTGACCAGGCTGCGGGCCAACCAGAGCTGGGAAGATTCGAACACCGACCTCATCCAGGCCCCTGAGGTCCGGATACTCACACCAGAAGGTAAGTGAAATCTTGGAGATCCCCTTCCACCCCAAGCAGCCCCCATATCTAACCAGGATTCCTCTTGTCTTGAAAAGCCCAGACCTACCTTTGAGCCTCAGTTGCCCCGTCTGTGCCCTGGGTAGGAACGTCCTGGACCCCCTTGGGTCTGATGGGGTAGCTGATGCCTGATTTGCACCCACAACGTGGGAGGTTATAACCCGTTCCCAAATTGTAAATGGGGAAACTGAGGCACAGGGATGCCAGGGACCCTCCTGAATGTACACAGCACCTGGGAAACCTGGGGTCGGGGTCGGGTGTGGGGTGTGGGCATGGTCCCTGACCTGGGCTGGGGCCAGGATCCAAGAGAAAGGATGGGGGTGTGGTGCATGGATAGAGGTTTGTGATGGGCAGAACCAGTTGTAGCTGGTCTGAATCTGATGCAATCACTTGTCAAGGCACTGCTAAAGTCACATGCAACAAGTGACTTGTTAGGGGAGGAGAGTTATTTTCCCCATCTCTATGCCCTCCATGGGTAAATGCACTGAGGCACCAGGGGTGCAGGGCACCGGATGAGGTCTGGGCTGTGGTGGGACCCAGGAGGGGGCAGGCAGAGGGGCACACTCTTAGCCTGCCCTGACCCATCTGTGCTGTGTGACTCCAGGAAAACCTGTCACCCTTGCTGAGCCTGGCAACTAGGCCAAGACACCCTCAAACCCCAGTCTCCCTAACACTTGTACCAGCCTGAGGGGCTGTGATTTCTAGAGGCTCAGTAGTCTGGAATGTGATGGGTTTGGTACTCTTCATTTCTCGGGATTACACCTGTAATCCCAGTACTTTGGGAGGGCGAAGTAGGAGCATCGCTTGAGGCCAGAACATTGCTGCCTGGGCAATATAGCGAGACCCCATCTCTACCAAAAAAGGTGTTTTTTTTTGTTTTTTGTTTTTGAGACGGCGGCTCGCTCTGTCGCCCAGGCTGGAGTGCAGTGGCCGGATCTCAGCTCACTGCAAGCTCCGCCTCCCGGGTTTTACGCTATTCTCCTGCCTCAACCTCCGGAGTAGCTGGGACTACAGGCGTCCGCCACCACGCCCGGCTAATTTTTTGTATTTTTTAGTAGAGACGGGTTTTCACCGGGTTAGCCAGGATGGTCTGGATCTCCTGACCTCGTGATCCGCCCGTCTCGGCCTCCCAAAGTGCTGGGATTACAGGCTTGAGCCACCGCGCCCAGCACCAAAAAAGTTTTTTTAAAAAATTAGCCAGACATGATAGTGCGTGCCTGTAGTCTCAGTTATTCAGGAGGCTGAGGCGGGAGGATCACTTGAACCCAGGAGACTGAGGCTGCACTGAGCCATGCACTCCAGCCTGGGTAACAGCAAGACCATAATAAATAAATAAGTGAAGCAAGTGAGTTTTTGACTGCCAGAAGAAAAGCAGAGCCATGGTTGGAATCTTTGTCTGAATATCAGATATACATTAATTCCTTCAGGTATTTACTAAGCACCTATTGTGTGCCAGGCACAGTGTCAACCAAGCTGAGATTCTAAGCAGGGAATATGAATGACACACAAGGAAATAAAATAGGGTGCTTCCTATTTTAGGCAGGCTGGAAGGAGGAGGAGGAGCCAGCCTTGCCGAGATTCAGGGGAGAAATGCTCCTTTTTTTTTTTTTTTTTTTTGAGAGGGAGTCTTCCTCTGTTTCCCAGGCTGGAGTGCAGTGGCGCGATCTTGGCTCACTGCAACCTCCACCGCCCCGATTCAAGCGATTCTCCTGCCTCAGCCTCCCGAGTAGCTGGGATCACAGGCGCCAGCCACCACGCCTGGCTAATTTTTTGGTATTTTTAGTAGAAGTGGGCGTTTCACCATATTGGCCAGGCTGGTCCTGAACTCCTGACCTCAAGTGATCCGCCCGCATCGGCCTCCCAAAGTGTTGAGATTACAGGCTTGAGCCACAGCGCCCGGCCAGAGAAATGCTCTTGGTAGGGGAATAAACTTGTGCAAACGCGCCAGCGCCGTGGTGAGATCCAGCTTGGCGTGTTAGGGGAAATGGGCACCCCGTTCCTGGAAAATGGCAGGCCTGTGGGTGACCAGCTTTCCTATCTGTCTTCCCACAGTGCGGCTGGGATCTGGCGGCCACCTGCACCTGCGTATCTCCCGGGCCGTCCTGCCCGAGGGGCTCCCCGAGGCCTCCCGCATTCACCGGGCGCTGTTCCGGCTGTCCCCGACGGCGTCAAGGTCGTGGGACGTGACACGACCGCTGCGGCGTCAGCTCAGGCTTGCAAGACCGCAGGCGCCCGCGCTGCACCTGCGACTGTCGCCGCCGCCGTCGCAGTCGGACCAACTGCTGGTAAAGTCTTCGTCCGCACGGCCCCAGCTGGAGTTGCACTTGCGGCCGCGAGCCGCCAGGGGGCGCCGCAGAGCGCGTGCACGCAACGGGGACCACTGTCCGCTTGGGCCCGGGCGCTGCTGCCGTCTGCACACTGTCCACGCGTCGCTGGAAGACCTGGGCTGGGCTGATTGGGTGCTGTCGCCACGGGAGGTGCAAGTGACCATGTGCATCGGCGCGTGCCCGAGCCAGTTCCGGGAGGCCAACATGCACGCGCAGATCAAGATGAACCTGCACCGCCTGAAGCCCGACACGGTGCCAGCTCCCTGCTGCGTGCCCGCCAGCTACAATCCCATGGTGCTCATTCAAAAGACCGACACCGGGGTGTCACTCCAGACCTATGACGACTTGTTAGCCAAAGACTGCCACTGCGTATAAGCAGCCCTGGTCCTTAGACTGTGCACCTGCCCTGGGGATGCGACCTCAGTTTTTCGGGCCTGTGGAATGGGCTCAAGGGTCCTGAGATACCCGATTCCTGCCCAAACGGCTGTATTTATATATCTGCTATTTATTATTAATTTATTGGGGTGACCTTCCTGGGAACTGGGGGGCTGGTCTGATGGAACTGTGTATTTATTTAAAACTCTGGTGATAAAAATAAAGCTGTCTGAACTGCTCCCTGTGGTGTCCAGGATAAGGGAAGGTGACCTTGAGAAGATCCTCCTCTCCCTGGCTTCAGTTTCTCCAGGAGACCTTGGAGGGGGTGAGTGGAAAGGCTCAAGGAATGAGTGGCAAGGTGTACTTGGAGATGCCAGGCCATTCCTGACTCTCTGTCTCCATTTCTCTATCTCCCTGTTTCTGTTTCTTTTTTATTTTTACTTTTTTGAGATAGGGTCTCATTCTGTTGCCCAGGCCAGAATGCAGTGGCACAATCACAGCTCACTGCAGCCTCAACCACCCAGGCTCAATCGATCCTCCCACCTCAGCCACCTGAGTAGCTAGGACTACAGGCGCATGCCACCACGCCCAGCTAAGTTTTGTATTTTTTGTAGAGACTGAGTTTCGCCAGGTTGCCCAGGCTGGTGTTTCTGTTTTGGAAACAGCTGAGACCTCATACCCTTTTAAGTCTCAGCTTCCCTCTATCTTGCCTCATTCCTCAGAACTTCTCTCTTTGGGGGCTGAGGCAGAGGTATCTGTCACTCTCTCTGTCTCTATCACCATCCTGTTTTCTCTCCCAAGTTGGGAGTCACCTTTCCAAACACAGGCAGCTCAGAGGCAAGTCTATCTGCCACCAAGTGCTTTGTTTTGTGGCACTGTCCTCAACCTGAGCGGTGAATCCCATCACCCCTCCTGTTTGTGGCACTTCCATGTTAGTGACACCTCATTCTTTCATATATAAAGAGCAGGGAGGAACAAATAAGTTGTGAAGAATATTTTCATGCGCACCACATCTCCCAGGTTATATATACTTCCTGTTTAGGATCTTGGAATCCCGAGGTGTGCTGAGTCCAGCTCCCTCCCCACACCAAACTGCCTGCCCACCCTCAATCTCTGAGAGGAATGGAGATGGGTGTCTTCCGGGACAGAATACCCACTTCCAGCAGTGAAGTGTATCTGCTGGGAATGCCACCACCCAGAGGCCAACCTGAATGACTGCAGGTTCCCCTTAACGTATTCAGTGAGTGCTCACTTTATGCCAGGCCCGGGACACAGCAGTAAGAAGACACACAAGAACCACCCCACTTTGTGGAGCTCGGTTGAGTGAAGGGGACAAATGAGTAAATCCTAAGTAAGTAGTTGATTGCAGTAAGATTTGTGCTGGGGATTCAATCCATCAGCTCATTAGTGAATGGAGGCAGAGGTGATCTAGATAGTTGGATGGGGAGGCCTCCCTGGGGAGGTCCCATTTGAGCTGAGACCTGGAGGAAGAAAAGCAGTCAGGGAGCGAGTAGTTGAGGGTGGACATTGCAAGTAAATGCAAACAGCAAGTGTAAAGACCCTGCGACGGGAGCAGGCTCACTTCAGTCACAGCAAAGCTGGTGAAAATGGGCACCTAGGAGGCTTCAAAATTAAACTCAACACCAAAAGAGAGCAGATGGCATCACTGAGTCCCCAAACAGCTGTTGTCTTTGCAAGGTACAGTGCTGGGCCTGTGCCTTCTCTGTGCCTCTCCAGGCTCTTGCAGAAGTTGGTCCACCCACCCAGCATGCCCTTTCCTCTCCAATTCTCAAACTCCTATGCATCCTTCAAAACCCACTGCAGATTACCGTCTTACGTGCAGCCTTATTCAAACTCATTCAGTTGTCTCCATGTGGGGACTGTGCCCCCATTCTTCCCTTTGGCCCAGGCTTGATCTCCCAGGACTGAGGGTACTTGTCGCTAGTTCTATCTCCTCCAGATTGGAGGATCGGGCAGGGACCAGCTGATAGGAAACCCAGCTGCGTCATGAGCCTGAAAAAACTCTTGAAATACAGACGTCTGTGAGTCATTAACTCTGCCTGAGAAGAAACCAGGGACAGCTTCTCAGAGGAGACGGCATTGCACCAGGGTCTTGAAGGATTTTCTCAGAATATTAGAGCTAAAGCAATATATATACATTTTTATTTTGGGGGTGGTGTGGGCTCCACTGGGGGCCGAACCTGGAGATCAGGAACCTGGGAAGGGGCCCTGAGAGGGGCAGAAGGGAGGAATGTGGTCAGGCACGGTGGCCACGCCTGTAATCCTAGCACTTCGGGAGGCCGAGGTGGGCAGATCACTTGAGGTCAGGAGTTCGAGACCAGCCTAGCCAACATGGCAAAACCCCGTCTCTATTAAAAATACAAAAATTAGCTGGGCATTGTGGCAGGTGCCTGTAATCCCAGTTACTTGGGAGGCTGAGGCAGGAGTATCACTTGAACCCGGGAGGCGGAGGTTGCAGTGAGCCGAGATTGCACTACTGCACTCCAGCCTGGGTGACAGAGTGAGACTCGGACTCAAAAACAAACTAACAAACAAAACAACAACAACAACAACAAAAACCAAAACAAAACAGGGATGGGAGGTGGGGAGCAATTTGGGAGTCTCAGATGGAGACTTGCTCTTAGAACTCAGAAATCCCCACCTTGAGGAACCCACTCACCCTGAGCCAGCAGCCTCATCAGCCTCAAAGCATTTATTGAGCACTGCCTGAGCATCCACAGGAGGATGACGACAGGATTCACACAGTGACCCTCCTGTCCCCTTGTTGGGGGTCTCTCCTCTTCCCCCTCTAGGAGCCGAGCGGGCTGAGGAGCGGCATAGGGGACAGGGAGGGGGCGGCAGAGCTTCCTGGGGCCTCAAGGATCCTTTCCTGTCCCCATTCTTCAGATGGGGAAAATGAGGCCCGGGAGGAGTTAGGATGCCCTGAGGCACCCAGCAGGGACTGAAGGGGGTCTGGGTGGAGGTTGGGACATCTTAGGCTCTGCGCCCAGGGATCACGTACTCCTCTTCATCCATCGGGGCCTGGCCCAGTGCCTGCAGGTTACAGTAGACAGGCTGGGAGGCCAGGTCGATGTCCTTGTAGTTCATGTAAAAGTCATTGTCCTCTGAAGGGTGAGCCCTGGGGGTACACACAGACCAGGGGTAAGTGAGGGAGGGGGAGGACTCAGGGGACAGGCACATGAGCTTTGAGAAAGTTCCAAGTGGGCCAGGTACTCTGGCTCACGCCTGTAATCCAGCACTTTGGGAGGCTGAGGTGGATAGATCACCAGAGGTCAGGAGTTCAAGACCAGCCTGGGCAACATGATGAAACCCCTGTCTCTACTAAAAATACAAAAATCAGCCAGGCATGGTGGTACATGCCTGTAGTCCTAGCTACTTGGGAGGCTGAGGCAGGAGAATCGCCTGAACCCAGGAGGTAGAGGTTGCAGTGAGCTGAGATCGTGCCATTGCACTCCAGCCTGGGAGACACAGCGAGACTCTGTCTTAGAAGATTTAAAAAAAAAAAAAAAAGCTTCAGAGTGGCTCAGTCTACCCCGAATATTTACATATGGGGAAACTGTGGCACGGGGTAGTTCTGATTCCCAGCTAGCCCCACCTCTCTCTGAGGAGTGGGAGGGGAGTGATTTAGAGAAGGTTCTGTGGGTGGAACGCTGTGGTCGGAGGACCCTGAACCCTTTTTCCTTCCTTAAAAATGAGATAGCAGCCAGGCACGATGACTCACGCCTGTAATCCCAGCACTTTGGGAGGCCAAGGCAGAAGATCTGCCTGAGGTCAGGAGTTTGATCTGCTTGAGGCCAGAGCCACTGGGCCATCCTGGGCAGCATGGTGAGACCCCATCTCTACAAAAAATAAAAAAAATTATTCGGGCATGGTGCCATGCGCTTGGAGTCCCAGCGACTCGGGAGGCTGAGATGGGAGGATCGCTTGAGCCTGGGAGGTCAAGACTGCAGTGAGCCGTGACCACGCCACTGTACCGCAGCCTGGGTGACAGAGGGAGACCCTGTCTCAAAAAAACAAAAATTGAGGTAGCTGTTCATTATTACATTAAAATCTAAATTTTTGTTTCCTCTTGAAAAATCGGAAGCTCTGGCCACATCAGTCACATGCACACAAGTGGCTGCACCACACTGTCTGCTCCTTCCGATGGGAAATATTTTCCACACCGAAGCAACTGACTTTGTGGCCCTCATACATAAAAGCAAGTCTCTGGGCCTCAGTTTCTGCATCTATAGAATTGGCCACGGAGCAGGGAGCTACTTAGGAATATTTGTTAAGGCCAGCAAGATCCCCAGAGAACTTTCCTGCCTCCTGAACATTCTAATTCCAACCCGGCTCCTCTTGTAAAAAGGGCCACTGGCCCAGGTGCGGTGGCTCACGCCTATAATCCAAGCACTTTGGGAGGCCAAGATGGGCAGATCACCTGAGGTCAGGAGTTCGAGACCAGCCTGGCCAACATGGCAAAACCCCGTCTCTACTAAAATTAGCCAGGCACGGTGGCGGGCGCCTGTAATCCCAGCTACTCAGGAGGCTGAGACAGGATGCAGGAGAATCGCTTGAACCCAGGAGGTGAAGGTTGCAGTGAGCCAAGATCGTGCCATTGTACTCTAGTCTGGGCGACAGAGTGAAAAAAGAAAAGAAAAGAAAAAAAAAAGGCAAAATGGCCACTTTGGGTATATAGCATCTATCAGTCAATTATACTCTAGTATGAATTGCCCACCAACACCTAAGGGGTTGTGGGGGGACGAACAGGACTGGGACGTAGGGTTCCTGTCCTGCCTTTTTTGACTGGCTATGTGATCTTGGACAAGTCATTTCCCTGCCTCCCAGCGCTTCCATGTCTGTAAGTGTCAGATGCAGGGTGGAAATGACACAGTCAATTCTAAACACAGTGTTTCTGGAGGCCAGGTACATAAAAGAGGCTAATCCGGAAGCCTCGGGGATAGGGAGGCCACGGTGAACATCGGAGCACAAGCTGCTTTTGTCAGTCCAGTGTCTTCAACACCCTGCCTCAGATCATTTCTGCTTTCGAGTCATGTTTACATCTGCTTTGCATATTTTCTTCTTTCTCACCGACAGTCTTCCAATGGCCTCCCCACCTCCTGGCACAGACTCTGCTGCCCAAACAGCCGTGGCTGTGGCCCCTTCCTGCTTGGCCTTCCCTGTTCCCCTCAGGCCTCAGCTTTCAAGTCATCCCTTCTCAAAAACCATTCACAGCAAATTCTCTGTTCTTTCCCGTCTCTGGGTCTCTGCCCCTGAGGGTCCCGCCCCTTGAAATTCCCTCCACTCCCTTTTCCAACCTAGAAAAGTTTTTCTTTTCTTCTTCCTCTTTTTTTTTTTTTTTTTTTTTTTTTGAGATTGAGTCTCACTCTGTCGCCCAGGCTGGAGTGCAGTGGCACGAACTCGGCTCACTGCAACCTCTGACTCCCAGGTTCAAGCAATTCTCCTGCCTCAGCCTCCTGAGCAGCTGGGACCTCAGGCGCTTGACACCATACCCGGCTAATTTTTGTATTTTTTATTTTTAGTAGAGACGGGGTTTCACCGTGTTAGCCAGGATGGTCTCGAACTCCTGACCTCGTGATCCTCCCGCCTCGGCCTCCCAAAACACTGGGGTTACAGGCATGAGCCACCGTGCCCAGCCTAATTTTTGTATTTTTTAGTAGAGATAGGGTTTCACCATGTTGGTCAGGCTGGTCTTGAGGTCCTGACCACTGACCACCTGGGCCTCAAAAAGTGCTGGGATTACAGGCATGAGCCACTGCACCCTACTCCAACCTAGAAAAGTTCAACTCATTTGTCTAAGCCCAGCAAAATCATCTAGAAACTGGCAGCGGTGGCTCACATCCATAATCCCAGCACTTTGGGAGGCTGAGACATGAGGATCACTTGAGGCCAAGAGTTTGAGACCAGCCCGAGAAACATAGCAAGACCCCTATCTCTTTTTTTTTTTTTTTTTTTTTTTTGAGACAGAGTCTCGCTCTGTTGCCCAGGCTGGAGTGCAGTGGCGCGATCTCGGCTCACTGCAAGCTCCGCCTCCCGGGTTCACGCCATTCTCCTGCCTCAGCCTCCTGAGTAGCTGGGACCTCAGGCGCTTGACACCATACCCGGCTAATTTTTGTATTTTTAGTACAGACGGGGTTTCACCGTGTTGGCCGGGCTGGTCTCGAACTCCTGACTTCAAGTGATCCGCCTGCCTCGGCCTCCCAAAGTGCTGGGATTACAGGCGTGAGCCACCGCGCCCGGCCACAAGACCCCTATCTCTACGAAAAATACAAAAATGATTTGGGTGTGGTGGCAGGTGCCTGTGGTCCCAGCTACTCTGGAGACTGAGGCAGGAGGATCACTTGAGGCCAGAAGTTTGAGGCTGCACTGATCTGTGATCGCGCCACTGCATTCCAGCCTGGGCAACAGAATGAGACTGTCTCAAAAAAAAAAAAAAAAAAGGTCATCTAGTGGTGATGGGACTTTGTAGGGCACCTCCTTAGCATCTCATGTGTGTCATGGGGAAAGGGAGGGCTGTCCCCATTCTACGGAGACAGAAATGGAGGTTCAGAGACAGCCTTGGGTCACACGGGACCTGGGCCTATGCTGCTGACCGCCACCGCAGAGCCCCAACTCCATTGAAGCAGTTGCCTCCTGTCTCCCCATCCTTGGCCGCCAGAAACTGGGTTTACAGGTCATGAGGGGGAAGCTTGTCCCATATATGGGAACTCATTTAATTTTTACCCCCAACACACTATGATGGGGACTATAGTTCTCCCTCGTTTTACTTTATTTTACTGATTTTATTTTTGAGATTGAGTCTCACTCTGTCGCCCAGGCTGGAGTGCAGTGGCACGAACTCGGCTCACTGCAACCTCTGACTCCCAGGTTCAAGCAATTCTCTTGCCTCAGCCTCCTGAGCAGCTGGGACCTCAGGCGCTTGACACCATACCCGGCTAATTTTTGTATTTTTAGTACAGATGGGGTTTCACCGTGTTGGCCGGGCTGGTCTCGAACTCCTGACTTCAAGTGATCCGCCTGCCTTGGCCTCCCAAAGAGATAGGGTTACAGGTGTGAGCCACCACATCCAGTCCTCTACCCATTTTATAGGTGAGGAGACTGAGGCTCAGAGAAGTAAAGCTACTCACCTAAGATCCCACAGCCTGCAAGCAGCAGAGCTGGGATTTGAACCCCGGCCATCTGGGTGTGGAGCCTTACTATTCACCACTTTGACAGGTGTCTCTATGGGTTACTTACCCTTGTTCAGCCCACTGGTGCTCGGCTGCTGGCTGGCCCACAAACATGTTCTCATAGTCGGGAGTGGAGGGGCGGGGTGGCGTGACCACTTGGGGCTTGGGGGTGCTCCGGCTGCCATACCGTGGTTGCAAGCCTAAACTGGGCTTGGGCCTATCCTGAGCGGGCGAGGGCTTGTCCAGGTCCCGGCTCCTGGCCACTCGGCATCGCCAGAGTCTCCAGGCCAGCACGGGGCCAGCGATGGCAAGTCCGAGAAGCAGGCACCCGCTGACTGCCACTGCCCCAATGGTTGCAGGGGCCAGGCCGGGGGCGCAGCTGACCTCCAGGAAGGCAGAGAGGTTGTGCTGGAAGCTGGTTGTGTCCCAGCAGAGCAGAGGCTTCTGGCCAGAGCAGTTGTCTCGCCGGACCTCGTGCCAGGACTCCAGGGCACAGCTGCAGTCAGCCCTCAGGTCAAGGTCACAGCGGGCAGCCAGCGCCCCATCCACACGGGACAGCGGGTTGTGTAGCACGTTCAGGACCTCGAGCTTCTGCAGGTGGGCAAAGAAGGTCACTGGAAGCTCTCGCAGGCCGTTCCCAGACAGGTCAAGGAGAAGCACGTTGCTGGCCCGCAGAGACTGGTTGAGGGGCAGGCTCAGGCCACGGCCACTGAAATTCAGGCACGTGGCACTGAACTCCGCGTTCCAGTCCACATCCGTGGAGGGCATGGTGCATGACGGTTCCTGGCTGTCTGACTCCTGCAGCAGCAGCGGCAACAGCAGCGTCCATGCCAGGGTGCCCCCCATTCAAGCAACCTACATAGAGACACCGGAATCCTAGCCCTGACCTCAGCCCTGTGGTCGCCCTTGCCTCCACCGCTAGTGTTTATGATTATACCTTAGACCAGTTCAAGCCGCTTCTGAAATGGTACAACGCAGCCCCAGTCTGGCTGCCTCCTTTGGCTGCTGGGCTGCCTCAGTCTCCCCTTCTGGGAAATGGGTAGGTAACCCCGGTGCCTAGCGGGCTTGGAAGGCGAGGAAGAGACCCGGCCCAGTTAACCCTTTCTTCTACGTCCTGAACATTTGGGGCGCCCTCGTTGGCCAGGACGGGACCCTATGCAAATAAGCGGTTGTCTCGGAAACGGCCCCGCCCCTTGATCCCGCTCCTAGTGTCTCCCAGAACCGCGGGTCCTGGGAAGTGCTGGGATAGGGGGGAGTGGGGGCTGCTGAGAGGGTCCTCCCAGGTCTGATTTGCAGTCCCTGCACAGGTGCAAGTTCTAGAGCCTCAGTCCTACCTTTTGGGTCCTACTGCCACGCTTTTGCCTCGGTGGTGCTGGAAAAGCGACGGCGCCCAGAGGCTGCGTCCTGGCCCACCTGGACACGGGGGCCGCAATGGCCAGCACCCTCCGCAGCGCTGCTGGGGTCGCCGGCGTTCCTCTGGCTCTGCACCCAGCGACTCAGGGGGAAGAGGAACTGGTATCTGGGTGGAGTGCAGAGGGGAAGAATGAAGACAGAGATCCGCCCCCTTGCAGGGCCTCAAGGTTCTCATGAGAGGTGGATGGAGGACAAGGGGGAGGGGTGGCCCGGGGTCCCGCTTCCCTCTTGCTAGAACCCAGTGACTTCATGTCCTCTATTGGCACCCCAACCGACAGCCACCTCATCAATTCGCTTCTCGATCTCAGCTCAGTTGACTCCCAGCTCATGCAGTCATTTATTCATTCAACAAACATCACCCACACTGGGCCCCCAAGAGGCCTCAGCCCTGATCAGGTCCTCAAGGAGCCATCTTAAGAGAGGACAGAGTTGGACATAGACACTCATAGTCCCATGCAGTCAAGGAAGGTCCAGAGGGAAAGACAGGGTCCTGGAAGGCTTCCTGGAGGAGGAGGCATTACCGATGGGGCTTCAACACATGAGTAGGAGTTCACCAAGATTCCTCAAACCTATAATTGGCTCTCCAAGTTCCTCCAAGCCCCTCCCACTGAGTTCTTGCACAATGGCACCTCTGTGCTGGAGGGGACAGTGAGGAGGGCTCCCAGCAGCTTGAGAAAATGTAGCTGGCTGGGATAGCATGGTTAGGAGTGGAGAGGATAGAAGGAATTGGTGGCAGGGGAAGAGGTCCATGTGGAGCCAAGACAGGTATGTGGGCAGAGGGGCACTGGCTCAAGAATTCCCTCTGGAGTGAGCCTGGTGTCTGGGGTGGGCAACGTGGGGAGGAGGCTGAGGTTCCAGAAGCAGACGGGGGCCTGAGGCAGACTGGAGGGTTAATAGTGACAAAAATGATACTGAGGAGGGGTGGCCTGGGAGAAGGTCTCACCTGAACCTGGTGTCAGGCGGACCAGGTTCCAACCTATGCCAGCCCCTGACTCACTGTGCCACCTTAACTGTGTGTGCCCCCATGTCCACAGCTGTCAAATGCACAGAGGCTTCTCCGGGATCTGGGAGGGTGGGAGTCCACTCCCCCACGTTTTCCCCTCTCCTTAGCCTCTGTCCTTCCCATCACCAAACTCCAAGAAGTGGTCAAAGGTTTTGAACCAAGACATTGAAGAAAAAGCTGGAAACTGCTCTTCAACATGTCCAGAGATGCTCATTCTTGCCAGGTGCAGTGGCTCACGCCTGTAATCCCAACACTTTGGGAGGCTAAAGTGAACAGATCGCTTGAGCCCAGGAGTTCGAGACCAGCCTGGCCATCATGGTGAAACAACATCTCTACTTTAAAAAATACAAAAATTAGCCAGGTGTGGTGGTATGTGCCTCAGGAGGCTGAGGCGGGAGAATTGTTTGAACCCAGGAGGCAGAGGCTGCGGTGAGCCGAGATCAGTCCACTGTATTCCAGCCTGGGCAACAGAGTGAGATCTGTCTCAAAAAAAAAAAAAAAAGTTCACACTTAATAAGAAAACCGCAAATTACAAACTGTTTGTCTTTACCAATCAAATTGGCAAAAATCCAACAGTACAATGACATGCTGTGCCAGCCAGGCTGTGGGGTACGTCCATGGTGTAGCATTGGTGGAGGGCACCCTGGCACAGGCCACTGGAATGATAAACTCATGTGTCTGCTGACACAGCAAGTTCACTTCTGGGAATCCTTGCCTGAATATTTGCATGTTTGCAGTGTGAACTGACTAACGAATAAAAAAAAAGTGGCTCAGCCCAGGCATGGTGGCTCACGCCTGTAATCCCAGCACTTTGGGAGGCCAAGGTGGGCAGATCACGAGGTCAGGAGTTCGAGACCAGCCTGGTCGACATGGTGAAACCCCATCTCCACTAAAAATACAAAAATTAGCTGGGCATGGTTGGTGGCACATGCTTGTAATCCCAGCTACTCGGAAGGCTAAGGCAGGAGAATCGCTTGAACCCAGGAGGTGGAGGTTGCAATGAGCCGAGATCATGCCACAGCACTCCAGCTTGGGCGTTAGAGCGAGACTCCGTCTCAATAATAATAATAATAATAATATTAATAATTAAAAATTAGCTGGGCATGGTGGCTTCAGCCTGTAGTTCAGCTACTTCAGAGGCTGAAGTGGGAGGATCCCTTGAACCCAGAAGGTTGTGACTGCAGTGAGCCGTGATTGTGCCACTCCACTCCAGTCTATGGGGCAGAGCAAGACCCCATCTCTAAAAAATAATTTAAAATAAATGGCTGGGCCAGGCGCAGTGGCTCATGCCTGTAATCCCAGCACTTTGGGAAGCTGAGGCGGGCAGATCACAAGGTCAGGAGATTGAGACCATCCTGGCCAACATTGTGAAACCCTGTCTCTACCAAAAATACAAAAAATGAGCTGGGCATGGTGGCGTGTACCTGTAATCCCAGTTCCTCAGGAGGCTGAGGCAGGAGAATCACTTGAACCAGGGAGCTGGAAGTTGCAGTGAGCCAAGATCGTGCCACAGCACTCCAGCCTGGTGACAGAGCGAGACTTCGTCCAAAAAAAAAAAAAAAGAGAGAGAGAAGGCAAAAAGATGCTCCAAGCTCAAAGTGATTCATTGCAGCATTGTTTGTTACATGAAAAAAAAAAAAGGGCCAGGCACAGTGAGTCATACCTGTAATCCCAGCACTTTGGGAGGCCAGGGTAGGAGGATCGCTTGAGTCCAGGAGTTCAAGGCTAGCCTGGGCAACATGGTGAAACCCCATCTCTACAAAAAAAAAAAAAATATATATATATATATACACACACACACACACACAAAAATTAGCTGGGAGTGGTGGCACATCCTTGTAGTTCCAGCTACTCAGGAAGCTAAAGCAGGAGGATCACTTGAGTCTGGGAGGCAGAGGTTGCAGTGAGCTGAAATCGTGTCACTGCACTCCAGCCTGGGGTGACAGAGTGCAGAGTGATACTCTGCCTCAAAAAGAAGGGGGGGGAAAAAAAAAAAAAGGAAATAACTCTTAAGGGATTGGGTACACGAATAACAGTTCATCCATCCTGGTGTGCCACAGAGTTTGAAAATGAAATTATAGATCTCTATGAACCTATAAGGAAAGACTCATTCATTTCCTCTGCAAGCCTTTATGAAGTTCCTGTTGTATACCTGGTACTATGAACTACAGACACAGCAGTGAATAAAACAGACAAATTTCCTGCCCCCCCCCACCCCACCATTCCAGGACTCGCTCTGTAGTTGGGGAAACAGACGACAGGCAGAATCCATCAAGAAAATATATGGTGGTGGGAATGCTGCAAAGAAAAATAAGGGCCGGAAATGAGATGGGGAAACTTTTTTTTTTTTTTAATTTGAGACGGAGTTTTGCTCTTGTTGCCCAGGCTGGAGTGCACTGGCGCGATCTCGGCTCTCCGCAAGCTCCGCCTCCCGGGTTCAAGTGATTCTCCTGCCTCAGCCTCTCGAGTAGCTGGGATGACGGGTGCATGGCACCATGCCCAGCTAACTTTTTGTATTTTTAGTAGAGACAGCATTTCACCATGTTGGCCAGGCTGGTCACAAACTCCTGACCTCAGGTGATCCACCCGCCTTGGCCTTCCAAAGTGCTGGGATTACAGGTGTGAGCCACTGGGCCTGGCTGCAGAAGCAACTTTTTAATGGGATGATCAAGGAATCCCTTAGGGAGTGAGAAGGAGGGGATGTGGGGAACAGCATCCAGGAGTGGGAATAGCATGTGCAAAGGCCCTGTGGTGGGAGCAGCCCTGGGTAGAGAGCAGATGTCTCCAAGTGTCTCTTCAGGCTGCTATAACAAATATGCCATAAACTGGGGTAGCTTATGAACAACAGAAATGTATTCCTCACAGTTCCGGAAGCTGGGAAGTCCAAGATCAAGGCACCACAGATTCACTTCCTAGTTTGTAGATGACCGTCTTCTCACTGTGTCCTCAGTAGGCAGCAGAGGGAGCAGGGGAGCTCTTGGGGCCTCTTTTAGGAGGAGCAGAGGGATGGAGGAGCCCAGCCAGCAGTGAGCCTCATGCAGCTGCACGTCCTCCACGCGCAGGGAAGCCACAGGGGGAGTCCAGTTGGGAGGCGTCTTAGAAAAGAAGGAAATGAAGAAATGAGGAAGTGCTAGACCCGAGGCTGCAGGTGGTGGGGGACGGGCAGGTCTGGGGTCTGGGATAGTGGGTTTGGAGGTGGGTCTGGGGAAGCTGGGGTCCTTGAAGTCTGACAGTTTGAGGATGGGGGGGTCCTGAGATTTGGGGGCTCTGAGGTCTAGGGATCCAGGGATCTGAGGGTCCTGGAGTCTGGGGGTCCTGAAGTCTGGGAATCCAGAGGTTTGGGAGTCCTAGGATCTAGGGGTCTTGGGATATGGGGGTTTGTTGGGGGGGTTCTGGGGTCCAAGGGTCTGGGGATCCAGAGGTCTGAGAGGCTTGGGGTCTGGGGGTCTGGTGTCTGGTGGTTCTGAAGTCTGGTGATCCAGAGCTCTGGGAGTCTTGGGGTCTGGGGGTCCTGCAGTCTGGGGGCACTGGAGTCTGGTTGTCTCGGGGCCTGGGGGTCTTAGGATGTGAGGGTTCTGGGGTCTGTGGGTGCTGGGGCCTGGGGATCCAGAGGTCTGGGAATCTTGGGGTTTGGAGGTCCTGGGGCCTGAGGGTCCTGGGGTCTAGGGATCCAGAGGTCTGGGGGTCCTGGGGATCTGGGGATCCTGGGGCCTGGGGATTCAGAGGTCTGGGAGTCTTAGGGTCTGGGGCCCCTGGGGTCTGGGCCTTCCTGACATAGCCCCAGCTGGCTACACCCAGGTTTCTGGGAAAGAGGACAGCTCAAGACTCCACTGGCCCCCTCCCTGGCTGAAGGGAGCCTGGAACTTTCAGAGGCCACCTCCCTGTGGTCCCTCTGCTGCCCCCCAATGTACCTGAAGCCATCCCAGGCTTAGTCCCAGGCAGGGCCAGCCAGTCTGCACAAACACCTCCAGGCAGCCGCCAGAGACGGCCCCAGGCAGACAGACACCAGTCTGCCCCCCAGGGATACTCAGAGATGCCAAGAGACCCTCAGACACACTTGGGGACCACCATCGGCA